ATCACTTCGACTTGCGGTTTCGACAGTTTGTATTTAAGAGGGTTATTTTGACAGTTTATGTAATATATGTATATAATGTGGAAGAACAATGGCGCGCGCGAAGCGCGCGCTTGTGTTGTTCTAGTTGTTCTAAAAAATAGATTACGTACAATTTTATATGTTTAAGACTTTTAGACAAGGCAGAAATGAATCTTATTATGTGTATATGTACGGGTAATTAATATACAACATTAAGCATTTTGTCATATTGTGCATTTATTTAATTTCATACGTTTATTACGTACAAAATATTGCACTCTACACCTTTGTTTTGACAATTACTACAATTCTTCTAACTACCAACATAAACTACATAAATATTAAAAATAATACGATTATTAATCATCTGCCGGTCTTTTAGTACCTCTTTATTTTTATAAACTTTAATTAATATAAAGCCAACAATTTAGTTTGTATGTAAATGTAGGTATTTTAATCAACAAAGAATATATTATATTTCTAAATAAAAATAAACACATTAATTAATTAATCTTAACAAACAACACAGATATATGCATTTACTTACAAAAAAGGACAGAATTCTTCTGCAATAAATTTGTATTATTCTACAATTTTTTAATATCCTCTTGATTTTTTAAATGTATTTAACGCTGCCGCAAGTTACTTGCTATTTCGCTTAATACGCTAACGGTAATCGCGAAAATAACTTTAAATTGACAGATTTGCGAAAATATAAGAATGGCTTCGAGTGCGTACGCTGTTCAACGTATGAAGAATACGTAGTACTTTTCGACTAATTACTGACGTTTAGAGTAGTGGCCACATTTTCTGCAGAATTCCCCCTTATTATCGTCTTCTTCATTCCCTCTCATTGACTTCTGCTTCGAAACTCGAACGGGTGGCAAATCGCCTGTATAAGGTCGATGTCCAATAGCAGCTATAGTTTCACTTCTAGGAAAGCCTACATTGGCCGAAGCAATAGTTACCGTGCTGTCGCCGTTATCTTCAGCACCGACGTTGGCAAACGAACCATTCGCCACTGTATAACTCGAGCCACTCTTCGAGACGGACGATTCTCTCTTAATTGTTTCAGAATTATCAGAGCCCTCCAAATTTTTATAAACAATTGATTTATCTGTAAGAACCATAAATCATACAATGTATTTGTTGTTATTTAAAGCAACGAAAACGCACCATTATCAGATTCATCGATTGTATCAACGTCAGATATTGATTCGCATAATCCGACATCGTCATCCTCTTTCATTAATGGTAACTCGGAAGGCGAATCCGAGAGTGGACGGCTGCAAACGTACCCCTAAAAGATAATATCGTTAACTTATTAGCTATGATAATATATACAGGGTGAGTCTTTCCATATCCGACAAAATTTTTGAGAAGGTAGAACGGATCGAGATGAACGGAAAAGTCCTGTACCATTTTGCAATTTTTGTAATAGTTAACGAGTAATTAATTACTAAAAATCGTTGTCTTAGGCCGGCCTACCGCCCAATTCGAGCGCGTGGCAAGATGTGACCGCCCGGCGATCGATATTACTATGCGCACATCTCGCCACGCGCTCGAATTGGGCGGTAGGCCGGC